CAGCGCCAAAGTAAAACTTTTATTAAGGATTTCTTCGAGAAGAACGAAGTAAAAAAGATAGGTTGAAGAACGTGATGTCTTCATTGGGGATGACCATTGTCACATGAGATAACTGCCTACTAGAGAATAGGTTTCAAGACGAGGTTCCATAAAAGCGCGAATGCCGGGGAAGTTTGAAAAATAAGTCCCTGTTGTTTGCGGTGAAAATTCGCAGAACAAATGCAAGTTTATATTAATACTTAAGGATCAAACTCGAAAATCTTTCCGAGATATTTGTGTGTCGTTTTTGATCGAAAATAGGGGTGTTCGTCGAAGTCAACATAAACTTCTGAAACGACGTCGTGATAAAGAAACATGACTGAAATGCAAGGCAAGTGCGAACGATATGCGAGATAAAACGAAGTAAAGTGCTTGTGTAGAAAGGTAAAGTACAGTAAGATAAATGACTGAAAGTTAAAGGACTTTTAAAATAAAGTGCAAAAAAGTAAAGTTTGCTGAAAAGATAAAGGCAGTCGAAAATAAAGTGCGGGAAACGTAGAGGCAGTCGAAAGTAAAAAAAGGGTTAAAATGCATAAAAACACGATGTTTTAAGATAAAAATGTTGTGATGTATTAAATCGATGAAACACATATGTACATTTTCCTCACTCGTTTCTCACAGCGCAGAAACTTTGAGTGTAGCAGATATGTGTACAGTTTGCGGACCCTTTACAAAATAAACCTAAGTTACTATATATACAAGTCTAAAATAATTGTACAAGACTAAAAACTATTCCCGTGATGACACATCTTCAAATCATGTAGCGGTTTTTTCCCTTGACGTGCCCACGTTATGAGTAACCGTCGACGCATATGCAATAGTTCCCGCCTTGCTTGTTCCTTTGAATCTTTTAACTGCTCTGTTGGCGCTAAGTACTAATAACCCTCGTTGAATCTTCTGTCGTCGGATATATTAAAGTAACATACTTCGACATGTTGCTCTCCATCGTAGTGAACTCTACACTTAGCCAATATGACCTAGTATTCCATTTCACTAAGTGTTACCGTAGCATGGTGTTAATTCACTAAGTCTCCATGATTTTCGACAACACCACTTTCGACCAGCATGACTATAGGTAACCCTAGACCTTGAGTCATATTAATCATGCTAACTCTACTTTTTGTCTTCCAGGTGGCACATTCATGGCTAGCCTCGTGAATACTTGTCATTCATAGTTAGGTCGAAAAATTCAGTGTAGCACTCGTAAGGACTTATTGAGGGGATTGTATACCACTAAGGCATACTAGGGGTGGAAATGATCGACTAATCCAACAGCTTGCAATGGTAGGCTAGTCGCCAAGTGATATATGTTTTTTAGAATAATCTTCTAAAGAAGTTCCACCGGGATAAGACTACTGCTGAGGTTCCTTATGGAAGATTCAAAAGAAACTCACTAAGAAAACTACTGCCGAGACTCGCTAGTAGACACTTACTGTCGAGGTTTACACATGGAAAATATCTTCTTCCGATGTTTACTGGGAAATGTATTATCGAGATTTACTAGGAAATCTACTGCCGAGATTCTGTTGGGGAAAATATACCTCCTGTCGAGTTTTAATTAGGAAATCTACTGCCGGTATTTTCCAGTTGTCATGCCCCAATTTTATCCTACCCAAATCGTATCACATTCATCTACATTCATATAACCATTTCATTCAGTTATATCCTTTTTCATGTACATAGATTCAGTCATGCGCCTAACACTGTGATCATGATCAATGCAAACTTTTTCAGTAAAATATCAGCTGCATCATGATATCGTGACCATCTCATTTAGTCAAGAACGATCATAACCATCCATTAATGTGCATTAGTTCAATTAGTGAAAGATGAAATGAAATGAGAAAAAAAATCCAAAATTAGATCTCTTTGGATCATATTACATTGTCCCCTAACACTTGCATTTGTTCACAAATCCTTAGAGATCAAAATCATTTAAGGTTCAGAAGTGCAAATTTTTGTATTTATTTTAATCATACGCCTTTGGTCATTTGATTTTTAATCATAAGCCTTAATTATTATCAAATAACTTTTATTAAATAATTTTCAAATAAAATAAATAATTTATTCTATAAAAAGTATTTAAAAATAAATTATCCTAGTCATATTTTTCACGTCATTAAAAATTATTAAAAATAAATTTTATGTCATTGCCATAGCTGTCACCTATCATCGATGAAATTTTAAGAGATATAAAATATAAGAGTCAAAAAATTAATTTTTAAAATGATAAGACTAAAAAATAAAAAACATTAAAAATACGTTTAAGTCTATTTTTTTTATTTATTCATCGTGAGTTTCATCTAATCTTACAAAAAGTTGAAATTATCGATTTGTAAAGAATATGAAAATTCTTCGAAAATGAATTTGTAAAAAATATGTCGAAAGATACTTTATGTATAATTGCAAGTATATTTCACCTCAAATTCAAAGAGTTTTATCCATTAAAAAATTATCTAATTGCTTTCTTGATTATCTAAATTCACCATAACCAACGCAAGATTGAAAACTCAACTAATGCACAATTTGAAGTTCTAAGATATCGTCGGTTATTCATATTTTCATAACTTCAATCCAACTTCGTACTTGAATAAAATTCTTAATTTCCCATCTTGATTCAACAAATTTTTATAAACTTTCATACTATTGATGTATGGTGATTGGTGAACAAGAACCATTTCCTATATACTTTTCATTTTTAGCTTTCTTTCCATAGATGTATTTGGTCTTTTACTAACGATAACATGAAAAGTAAAGTGAATATTCCACCTATTTATTTAGTTACCCAAATTCGTGGAAGAACTAAACAAAGCCACCGTTGACACGAATAATTTGACCATTGATCCATTCAGAAGAATCCGTGGCTAAAAATCCAACAACAGGTGAAATATCTTTGGTCTCACCAATTCTACCAAAAGGATTACCTTCCGCAATCATCTTCACCGTCTCCTCCGTCTTCCCTTCCAAGAACAACTCCGTCGCGACAGGTCCCGGCGCCACGCAATTCGCAGTAATCCCCGTCCCCTTCAGCTCCTTCGCTAGAATCTTTGTCATCGCTTCCACCGCCGCCTTTGATGCCGTGTACGCGCCGTAACCTGGCTTAAAAGCTGCTGCTAACGACGTCGTCAGAAGAATGATTCTCCCTCCGCCGCCGCGTTTTAGCCTGTTCGCCGCTTCTCTCGCACAGAGAAACGCTCCTTTTGCGTTCACGTTCATGACGCGGTCGAAGGATTCATCTGTTGTGTTTGCTATGCTTGGTAACTTCCCGTCGGCGATGCCGGCTGAGTTGACGAGAATGTGAACTGGCGAGTTGAAGGCTTTTTCAGCGGAGTCGAAGAGAGACTTAACGCCGTCCGGATCTGACACGTCGGCGCGGACGGTTATGGCTCGTGAAGTAGCTTGGTTTGCGTTGATCTGAGCTGCGACTGAGTCGGCGAGGCCGGAGTTTGAGGTGTAGTTGATGACGAGTTTGGCGCCGAGTGAAGCTAGGTGAAGCGCGATGTCTTTGCCGATCCCGCGGGAGGAGCCGGTGACGATTGCGACTCTGTCTTGAAGTGGTGCTGATTGGGGAAGTGAAGTAGCCATGGCGATTTATGTGGTGACTGAATATTATGCAAGAGGGATCTTATTTATTCTGGATTTTTTAATTGCAATTAGGCGAGATGGATCTGATAAACATTGTTAAATATAGATGATGCAATTCACTCTTTGGTCAAAAGACTAGGAAAGATTTTTTTCAATAATATATAAAACTGAATAAAATTGCGTAAGCTCACATGTCATCTACTCTGACAGTCATCATAAATGAGAGAAGTAGACTTATATGAAAGTAAATGAGAAGAAAAATGTTTCATTATTTTCATATGGTTTCCGTTTCTGATCTTTATTTTCATTTTATATTTTTTACGTTTCATAAACTCCAGTGAGTGAGTAATTAAAGGTTTTTGTTGTTGTATAAATTCTAGTGAGTGAATAATTAAGAAAATAAATTTACAGAGGAATACAAGAAAAACCACAACAAATTGAGTCGATGTTTTTTTTCAATGAAAAAATTAATCTTTTTCAAAACTATATTTATTGATCTAGGAAAAAAAATATAAGGCAAATGATAAGATAGTATATTAATTGTTAGAATACTTTTTTTATTTTTATATTTAATCACTTTACTTGAAGCAAAATTAAAGATTGTTTGTTCCATAATAAAACTTTTAATCTTTGTTCCAACCAGTGAAAAAATCTCTGTAAAATTCACATATGCATGTTTCCCTTAGACTCATTTGTACAATATAATATATGTTGGACTAAGCATCGATCTCCTTTGATATAGGTCAGTCAAGAAATTCACGGGTGTCTCTTTCATCACAAATACTTTGGGTCGCTGAAATATATCATATAGGTCATTCATAACAAGATCATGTTGGTATTTGAAACTTGGAATCTCCCTTTAACGAATTGTGTGTTCTGCACATGTATTCAAACACGTCTTGCGGCAAACATGACAAACTTCATCAATAGAAAATAAGATAATAATAAGGTTGTATCGCAGGATAGTACGGTACTCCACATGTTACATATGAAAACGAATTCTAGTGAGTGAATAATTAAGAAAAGAAATTTATAGAGGAATAAAAGACAAATGAAAAAAAAATATGTCACTGTTTTTTTTTAACGGAAAAAATTAACCTTTTTAAAAATTTCTTGATCCAGGAGATACAACATTGTTATGTATAAATTTTTGGACTCTCTATAATAGATTCATTATTTCTAGTGCTAGGAAGCCAAAAAAATATTAAAGAAAAATGGTACGAAAACATGTTGATTGTCATAACACACTTTTTTATGTTTGACCATTTTACTTGAAGCGAATTTAAGCGTTGTTTGTCCCGTAGTAAAACCTCTAGTCTTGATCCCACCAGTGGAGAAACCTCAGTCAAGTCCACATATACATGTTTCCCTTTGACTCACTCGTACACTAAAACATTTGTTGCACTAAGTGTTGATATCCCTTCATATGGGTCAGTCAAGAAATTTCTAGAAGCATTTTTCATCACAGATACTCCAACTCGCTGAAATATATCAAAAAAGTCATCCATAACAAGGTCATGTTGGTATTTGAAGCTTGGAATCTCCCTACAATGAATTGTATGTTCCCCAAATGTATTCAAGCATGCCTTACAACAAATAGGGCAAACTTCATCAAAAGGAAATAAGGTAATAATAAGACGGTATCTCAGGATATTATGGTACTCCACCACTGGCATATGTTGGCTTAACTCATCAATAGGAATAACAAGGAGAAAATCCTGAGCATGTGCGGCTTGCAAACAACTAAAGACTACTTTTTGTTTGGTGGTCATGTTAAACTTTATATCCATGTTTTGAACACTTTTACTAAAAAGGATGTTCACTAAAACATATTATACTTTAAGAGCGACAATGTCCTTGCTAGTAAGATTTCTAAGATCAAAATCTAGATTCGCAACCCTAAGACCATCCAAAGCTCTGTCAAAATCAGATTTCATATCATATATCTCATTGTCTCTCAATACACGATCTTGTAACAGCCAAGATTGAGCCCTAGAAGCCATAAAAGTGTATGATAGAGCTTCTACTGTCGAGTACAAACCTAATCCCTCAACTCTAATGGTTAAAGAAGTCACCTTCCACTGAAATTCCTTGAAGAAAGTACCTTCACCAACCACGATCTCTTCAACCGCCTTTCACAACTTTATATCAAACCAAATAGTTGCTTCCTTCATATGATTAGATTGGCACATCCTTAGGCCAAAAACAGTTTGAAAATAGTCATGCAGAATAAGTAGAAGAAGCTCACTATGATAATCCCTTAGTTATGGTAGAATATGCATTAACTCAAAAGCCATGGAAGCTCTCTTCATAGACAACCTTTGATAAAGTCTTCATCTCAAGTAATAGACCATCTAAGAAACTTCACCCCTAACATTAGCCTTACAATGTACGACAGGACAAACCCTCACGAAGTTTACTACCATCACACGAAGGCCAAAAGATTTTAGTCTTACAAATATTCAATTCGAGACCTAATCATGAAATTGTCTCCTGGATGATGTAAAAGGCTTTAGCCATCTCCTGTGAATCTCTTATATTGATCTCGTCATCAAGATACCAGGCATGAAGAAAAAGCTTACAATTGTGTCTAATCTGATGAATGAGTGGGTGTAACACAAGAGCAAGAAGAAATGACCCTAACGGGTCACCTTGTTGCACTCAAGTGGCTGACATAATATATTAATCCCCAATATACAACCTTATTTCTTAAACATAAAGAAACTTAACCCACAAATAAATAGATGGGCATTTCACTCTTACCTCGCGTGATAGAGCTTATCGATATACCATGTTGAAAGAATTCGAGAAATCTACTGTGAGTATAGTCAAAGAACCATCTTTGTGCTACTTGCATAACACCTTGTTAGCATAGTGAAAAATGGCCTCAACACCACCTGATACCTTAACCCTAAAATAAAATTCATTGAGATAATGTGTCACGTCTTACTGACCCATTTCACAACAACCTTGGATACCAACCGTCTCCAAATAGAATCTATAGCAATTAGTTGCATCCTACCATCAGACCTTAATAACAAAATCAAAGGTGGAGAGGCAACAAACTTTTCCAAACTCATGAGACATCTTCCTCTCAGCCATAAGTTAACAACAAGAGCGATTGGATATAAAAGATCTCTTTCCACAGAAAAACCTTCTCCACACAATGTGTATAATATATGTTGTGCTTGCGAACCATCTCTACCACATGATGTCCCTTTGGAAAATAATTTAATGTACTTGAAGATAGTATCAACTTCAGCCACTAGGGGATCTTCGTAGAACAAGGTGGTTGGTATGGAGGGAGATGGTATATACAGATGCTTAGCCTCCAAAACCTTCATTGTATTCCAATTATAGGGGACTACTTCGAATGACAAACACTTTGACAATTGTTGTGAAGTGTCCATCTACAACCTTTTAGAGGCATTGCTTGGTATTGGAGCCTATTTTTTTTTATCTTTCTCCTCAATATTTATTCCCCATGATGCAGGTTATTTTTCTCAAAGTTTTCCAACATACTATCGACTAACTTGGCAAGATCACTTGTGTCCCTTCAAGTAGCTAAGCACTCAAAAATATGTTTTTGTTGCAAGGACTTCTAATTTTCAAACTTATGATCCTGCATATTATAAGGTTTAACCATCTATAAAGTGCAATGAGGAAAAAGTAACAACCAAAGCCAAACACCTATTTTTCCTAACTCAACAACCACCTTATAAAGAGCATCTTTCAATGCTTGAGAGAAAGCAAGACGACACTTAAGAGGTATACTCTTCAATGTGAATATAAGTGTTGTAAGGACTTTTTCTAACAACCATGCATCCAAAAAAAGTTTTTTGTTTGTTTAGAGGTTATCCGAATCAATTGTAGATGGTTTTATAATACCCAATGTGACTTTCGACCTTCCATGTTCCATGAGTAACACGAACCCGACCATTAGAAAGGATGATGACATGCCTAACTCATGGCATGAATGCTCATACACCTCTCACATAACCATTGCTCAACCACCTTTAAAGACTCCTTTAATGAATAAATAAATCAAGATCATTCTCAATTGCTTTCCGAATTACAATTTTATGCTCAGCCACTGTATAGGTGTAACGTCTTAAGATGGGACATTGATCAGTGCATTTTAATGCACCTTCCTCTATGTTTAGACTTAGGCATTTCTACAGTTTAGTTTGTTTAATTTCCTATTTTATAATGTTTTTACAATTTATTTTATTTTAAGCTTTATTTAATTTTCGTTTGTTATTTTTCAGCATTAGTATATTTTAGTAAAAAATTCATAACTGGAGTTACAGGAATCGGATCGAGGCGTTCTATCAGTCGTTGAAAAGCTAAGAAAAAGATCTACAACTTTTATGTTAAACAAAGGAGCTAATTCGGATTGCTTGAGTCTCGAATAATTCGTTGAAGTTTCTGACTTGTGATAATGTAGTTTTCCTTTCGGTCCTAGTTTAGGTTTCTGCCCCAGTTATTTTCTATTTAAGGTTGCTGCTGTGATGCAAAATATTCATCCTAGTTTTTATTTTCCTAATTTCTTTCTTGCTTTCTATTGTTTTTATGGCGAACTAATCCTAAGGGAAAATCTGCCAGTTTCGAATCCCGTAATTCTTTGAGGTTTATTTCAATTTCAATTGCGATTTATTTTATTTAATCCCGTTCCAAATTGTTTTATAATTTCGTTTGATTAATTCGTTATTATAAGATAAATTGGATTTAATTCGGTTGATCAATATTCCTTAACTCAATCGTGGATTAACTTAGCTTTTTCGTTAATTTGCGTCATCTTTAACCGTCTGTTTAATTCGGTAATTAGGAATAAAAGTCGTGCGGTATTGTCGATACTTGTTCGTCAATATTGCAATCAAATAGGAATTGGAACCGTTTGGAAATATTGAATTGTAATAACCAATGATAAGTTGAGAGTCAAACCGGTGGATTTATCTGTTTTTAATCACTTATTTCAAAAGCGCTTATTTTTACTGTTTACTTTTTTTTTATCGAATCCTAATCAAAACAACCCCCAAAACCTTTTATTTAATTGGCTATTTTATAAATAAGAATCCTTGTGAATCGACATTCAAGTTACCGTCGTTTTTACTACGTTTTTTCAATCCGCTCGATTTTGATCTGCGAGCGACCGCTGATCAAATTGGCGCCAGAATTTTAATTTTAAGTTTTGTTAGAATTTTTTTTTTTGTTTTTTTTTTAAAATTTCAGGGTTGCAGAATAGGGGTAAGCGTTTCAGCCTATCAGGTAAGTTGGAAGCTACTGTTTCGATTTGCTCCGAATTTTTTTCAGAAAATCCGAAAAAAATCAACAAACAATACTCCTTTAGAATAATATTCTAAAAGATTTTGACCCTGAAAATCGCAAATTCTTTATTTTTCTATTTTATTTGATTTATTTTTTATTTTCATATTTTCAAAAAAATCCGAAATTTTTTGTAAATGTTTATTCTGATTTGATTTGATTTTTAGTTATATTTTCAGAATTTTTAGATTTAATTTTATTCGGTTTTCTATTTTTCCATTCTTTTTCTTAACAGGGACATTGTTGGTATTTTTTTAATTGTTGCTGCATTGCCGAATTTGTTCTTTGTTTTATTTTCTTTGTTGATTTTCCTATTAAATTTAATATAACAAATCAAAGAACTCTTAGAGAACTTGTTGCCCATGATATGAATTATAATGCTTTATGTACGGAATATCCTGTTGTTACTGTACCTTTCGAATTGGAATCTGGTTTAATGGACTTGCAGGTGAGGATCCGAATAAGCATATGAATGAATTCCAAATTATGTGCTCTACACCTTCTGAACCTTCATTAGAGGACCTTGTCAAGCAAATAGCTATAAATGAGTTCCAATTCCAACAACGGATAAAATTATCCATCCTAGCCTTGCAAACACAAATTGGACAGCTTGCCACTATAATGAATGTCATGCAGGAAGCTCAAGAATTGAACCAACTACCGGCCCAAACAGTAGTGAATCCAAAAGAGTTACTATCTGATTTAGTTGATGATACTTATCCTGAGTTGGTATCTGATTTTCCATCTTTATTAGATTATGATGATACTTACTCTTGTGATTCATGTACCGACACTAACATTTGCTCTATTTGTGCTGAGATTAATGTTGCCGTGCAGGGTAATGTTTTTCATGAAGATGAAGTTGTTTATACAGCTGAAACTCTTGACATCACGGCTGCCCCAACCTCACCATCCATTGAACAACCTCCCCCTTGGAGCTTAAACCACTTCATAACAATCTGAATTATGCTTATTTAGATATGGATAAAAAGCTTATAATTATAATTTCTTTTAACCTTGATTTTGATGAAGATAATAAACTTTTGCAGGTTTTGAAGAAACATAAGAAGGGAATTGGATGGACCTCGATGGAAGATAGAAGGAAATTAGTGAGGCAGCCCTTTAATCCTATAATTCTTGATGTTATGAAAAAAGCGATCACATTCACGTGTCAATGCAACACTTTTATTTATCGAAGATTCTTCTTTGATCCTGTAATAAAAGGAGAAGACACTAATAAATATTTCAAGGTCAATGGATGCTACCCAAAGCTACTGTATGAGATCCCCACTTTGGAAAAGGAGACTGCGAGAAATCTCTCTTTGAGAAAGAATGCCTATGTGATCACTTATCCACCTTGACTCCTCGGGTGTGTTCCTTCCTTTCTCTCACTCTTATTTTATATTTATGTTCTTTCATTGAGGACAATGTATGCTTTAAGTGTGGGGGAAGGAACCATTTACTT